AAAAAATACTGACTGCGAAATGAAATCTCACGGACGCGGCGGACTCACATTCTTCCCGACAGCCATCATCATAAACGGGAACTCGAGAAGAGTGAAGGACGTTTAGGTGGGTACTGTACTGGGTAGGGTTTTTTTTTTGGAGAGGAAGAGAGAGGGAGGGAGGGTCGATGGGCGGCACGCGGCGGGGAAGACAGAGGTGAGATTAAGAACAAAAAAAAAAAAAATAGATTGATCTCTAAATTAAATTGAAACTACGAAAAAACCAGAGCAGCCTACTTAGTGAGTGACTACGGTGAACACATGTTAATATGTCCATCGTTTATGTGACATGTACATATTGATGATGTCAATATGTTAAATAATCACCAATATGTATATACCACATAAACGGTGGGCATACTAACATTTGCTCACCGTGGGTAGGGGAACCGAACCAAAAAGGTCTACGCGTCAAGCAATAAAAGTATAAAACAGGGCTCTTATCGCCTTCTTGATATAGAAAGGAGGAAAACGGTAATCCATATAGGGTAAATTGCGCCAAACCCCCCTGTATTATACGAAATCTGCGTCTTATCCCCCTGTATTTTAAAAAATGCGTCATACCCCCTTGTATTATACTTTTGATTGTGCGTTATCCCCTAAAAATGCGTCATACCCGCTTGTATTATACGAGGAGTGGGGAGCGTGCGCAATCAAAAGTATAATACAAGGGGGTATGACGCATTTTTTAAAATACAGGGGGATAAGGCGCAGATTTCGTATAATACAGGGGGGTTTGGCGCAATTTACCCAATTATAATATATATGCGACCTCAATAGACACAGACTCCAAATTTCTGGCATTTAGCGGAAGCACTAGCGCCATGTAATTAACTACATCACAAGCAACAGATCTCCATCCAATTTGCAGAAAAAAAATATATTTTAAAAAATAGCAATTTGCAATTTTTCTGTATATTTCCGAAATTAAAAACAAATAGCAATTTGCAATTTTTCTTAAAAAAAAAATAGCAATTTGCAATTTTTTTATATAGTTCACAAACTAAAAACAATAGTCCTCGCCAATAGCAATTTTGAAAATCGTCTCGTATGTATAAAAAATTGTTAAATGCAGTTAAATTTCAGGCCAGTATTTAGATAATAACTTACTTCGGTGGTGGAGATTCATTATTAAATATACTTTTAAGTGTGCCCTATTAATTGGTACTAAATCCACTTCCAAAGTTGTATGTCTGCTGGTGGACGACTCGTGCGCTTTTGAAATAGTTTTATATTACCATCTCGATGGAGATCTATCTTTATGAATTGTGATTAAAAATGTCGTGTTGTGGAGGAAGACCCTAATGCCAACGCGCATCATTTAACCACTTCATTGACAGACCTATAATGGAGGATGTGAATACAAGTTATTTCATTTCATTTACACTTAATATAATTTTTTAAATTAAGAAATTTTCCTAAACATGTCCCTAATAATTTAATTTGCACATTAAGCAGTTAAATCACATAAGGACATGCATGATTAATATGCAATAATAAACGAGGAACTATAATCCAACTATAATGGTTATTTAATCATTCTCCAATCTTTCGAAAAAACGCAATATTGTCCTTGTTGAACTGTGTCTTCCGATTCAGGACTTGAAATTTCCTTTTTTGTGACTCCCACTTTTCATCTTGAACAAGTCGTCATTGGGAAAGTCAACATCGGGTCTCCACCGTTGGCTTCGGTCCGTGTGTCTACTGTCGCCGTCGCCCACACTTCTGTCAGCCTGGGTCCGTGCATATCTGTCGCTCATGCCTTGACAATGCTCGCACCTAACAGCAAGCTGCTTGTTTAGCAAAGTTTTGCGGTGGGTAAAAGATAACCGAGTTACCCGACTCGGGTCGTTCTCAAAAGGAAGGCGGTTCGGAGCTTATCTACTATTCGATTCAAGTCACAAAAAGGGAAAAATAAATCCTAAACATTCTAATCAATGGGATTGGAGGTTGATTAACACTAAACGAGCAAGCAAGCAACTACGAGCAATATCAAATCACGAGCAAAAAGCAAAGCTAGACCATCGGAGTCTCAAGCCATCAACATAACGAGATGATAATCAACAACAAAGAGAAATAAACGAGCTACGAGCACTAGATCACTAACCCTAGCCTTCAATCCCTAAGTAATTAAGCCCTAATCGGGTCTTAACCCTTAACCGAGATCGACAAGCAATTAATCCCTATAACTACTCAAGCAACCATCCCAAGCAATCAGTCCAAACCTTCCCTCCATCATCAATCAAACTCAAATTTACCCTAATAAACATTATAAGTAAAAACGAGGCAAAAACCGAAGTAAAGAGCTTTAAAACTAAATACCCATTCTTTTATTGCGTAGACGATGAAAAACGGAGTCAAAAGCTCAAAACTTGAAAGAAACGAAAGTCGCCGGAAAACCTCCCGAAAAATGACATAAGGTCCTTATTCTAGAGAGCAAACATAAACATAAACTAAGAACCAAAAATGGAAAAATGAAATAATGAGTGGTGGATCCCCAAAATGCAAAGGAAGAAAAGTATTTATACTCCAACCCAAACACACACTAGAAAAATGAACATTTAAAAAGACACTCTCGAGCTCTCCGCAAAATTCGCAAGCT